ATCCTAAAGACCTGTTGCTCCACTTGCCGTCACAGCTCCGTGTGTAGAGCTTGGGAGTTGCCCCACAGCCTCCCTGGCCTCTCACCCCTCTGTGCCCAGGAGGGTTTGTTGTAGAGCCCTGCTAGCCTTGGGGCTGTGGTGACTCACAGCGATGGCTCAGCCCCTCTTCCACCCACAGCATCCTCAGCACAGCCTCTGCAACCCAAGCTGGAATCCTCCTGGCCTCACCAGCTCTTCACCCACAGGAACTGCAGTACTGAAGCCCATGCAGTAGCCAGATGACATCCAGCATCTTCTCCATAGGAAAGGAAACCTCCATCAGAATGAGAGTGTAATTGGGAGCTCCCTTATCACCTCCAACACCCCCAGGCTGTTCCCTTGCCTTGGCCCCAGATGCTGTGGGAGAGCTGAGTATGCGGGAGCCAGCTGGAGCTATTTGGTAACACTCTGGCATGAATGGGGCTCTGTCCTTACTAGCAGAGGGAGCAGACCTAGCATCCAGTCCACTTCCAGACTGCTTGTTTGGAAGTCACCTTTAGGAAAGCATCCACCTGCTTGCTAGAAGCTGCCTGCTGCTCCTCTAGCTGAGATCTGGCTGGGGTAGCCTCTGCCTGGCTCAGTCAGCAGCCAAAAGAGAGGATTTTATTTCTGTATGGTGAATCCCACCCTGTGAGAGCATCAGGGCAAAGCCAGGGTTTGGAGCATGTCCTGCTGGGGTGAAGAGCTGGATCCTCACTTTGCAAGCTTCTTCCGAGGGCTGGCGCCAGGCAGGCTGTGTGACCCACATGCAGCACACCCAGCCTGCTCTGATCCCCCAGGCGTGGAGAGCACAGAAACATCCCCCTTGGCCCCTGCTAGATTATAGTGGAATTAATCGCACTGATTATATGCTACCAAAAAAGGAGGTGCTTTCTCTGTTAGGAGCTGCCTCAGACCTCCTGCTTGCAAGCAGCAGCTTAAAATTGCTGTTTTCTGCTTCATCATGTCTTGTCTCTGGGTTTTTCAGGAGCTGTAATAATTTTGGATAAAAACACCAGGAATGACAGCAATCCCAGGCAGCTCAGCCTGCAGAGAAAGTGGAGAGATAATGTGTGATTGTGGGCAGGGAGGTGAATCATGGCTCTAACAACACGGGATGGCATCCCAGGGAGAGACAGGCTGAGCCACAGCAGTTCCGCGCCCTCTATCGCAGGGCCCTGAACAGCATTTTGATGGCTTCCCATCATGTCACACTGTTGCCTGTATCAGTTGTGATTAATGCCCTACATTTACTTCTTTCCCCACAGCTACTCGAAGTGTAGCCTTTTCATTGCACCTGTTGAGTATTCAGACTAAAGCTAGTCTTCTTTGTGTACTGCATCTTGCTTTGATGGGAAAGAATTAATCCTGACTGACAATCCAAAAATTCCTCTGAAGCATTTTCACTGCAGGAATGAGAACTGCATCCTTCCTCATTTTTCATCCTAAAACATGACCAGATACCAACCTGAGTCACAAAAGGGTGCATCAGGCACCCTAAGACCACAGTTAAGGTTGTAATTCATAGTGAATTGGTGTTTGAGGGCTGCTCACTGCTCATCTAACTGCCCACAGAAAAATATGTGGTTCTGCATAGGCAGCCAGTGTATGGTTCATCACGTGCAGCAAGGGAGCTATGGGGAGCCTTGGCACGTATGATAGTGAGAGCATGAGGAAAGCTGCTCTCCATAAGCCCTTGGTGGAACAAAGCAGCAGAATATATGGTGCTTCGCCCTGCTGTATTTTTAAGATGTGATTTTGCTTTTTGAAATCAGCTCCTTCCCAGACTGTGAGCAGCTGGGCTGTAAAGCTGGCCCTGCTTTTAGCAGGGCCCTGAGCATGAGGCATGTGAGGAATACGACAGCCGGCCAGCAAAATAACTCTTGTAGCCCTATAGCCCTGCCAAGCAAGGAGATGTTCTGGGAAGGGATGGAGAGGACTTGGGGAGCCAGGCTGAGGCAGAGACAATAGCTCAGACTTTCCTAGCGCGGGTGAGGGCAGATCCTGGGCTATGGTGAGTAAAGGAGTTCTTTGGACAATGAATATTGTTTGCTAGAGAGCCACAGGAGAGACATTTGGAGTAAAATGTGTCCGATGTGCTGGGCAGGGGCACGCTGCCTCCAGTGAGGTGCAGCAGCTCAGGGCTGGTGACAGCACAGTGGAGTTCAGCCGTCACATTATTGTCCCCTTATGCTCCAAAGAGGCCTGTGGTGATGCTTTAGGCATTCCTCTGAACTAGGTTCTCGGTACTTTGCAGCACAATGGCAAGCTCATTTTACAGCATCTACTGCCTCACTAGAACATATGAACATGTTCCCATTTGCAAATACACCTGCCCTGTCCCCTTGTGTGGCTACATGAAACTTTCATATCTCATTCTTAAACATCTGTGCCCATTACTTGTTGAAAACCTGGTCTTTTCCCCTCAGAAGTGGAGGCCTGGGGTCAAGTGGGCAAGTGATGTTACGCTAGATGGGCTGATTTGATTTTGTGGCTGAACAGGGTCTGCTGCTCAAGCTGGGATAATCTTGGGTCAGATGGTGCTCATGGTTGTGCCCTCTTCTCTCCACAGGACAGCTCATGCCAAAGCCAAGGCTGAAGGGTCTGAGCAGGCAGCTCAGGCAGCTAACAATGAATCAGGCATAGCCAGAATGATGGCCAGAGAGCTCTCTCCAGACTTCTACCAGCCAGGTAGGACCAGAGGCACCTTCTAAGAGGAATTTTGCTGTTCCCCTGGGGAATCTGTTCAAATGCTTTACATGACTCCACAAATTGCCCACCTGTCTATCCCTAAATCCTCCTTCATGCAAGTTCAGCCATACCCCTGACCTGGATGATTTGTTGTCCTCCTTACACCACTGTTTTACCTGCTAGAATATGTTACCACAGCCTGGAGGGAAATCACGCAGTCCCTCAAAATTTCCCTTGTGTTTCTTCACACACTGAAGCCTTCCCTGCACCAGGCAGGTCAGGCAGTGAGCTTGGGTCTATTTGCAGAACTTCTGTAGATATATCCTTTGGAACAGCCTTGCACATTGACTCTTAAGCCCATATCCCGCGTTGCCCCACATCACACCAGGATACGGTCAGACTTGGCTAATCAGGGGCTCTAATATCTTGTAAGAAATTTGCTAATGCAAAATATCGCTTCTCTGATTCTCTGTTGGTTTGTTAGCATCACTGCTGATGGCTTGACTGGGAAAATACTTGGGAGGTTCCTTCTCTGACACCAAGCACTGAGGATTAATAGATAGGAAGTGTAATGTTAGAAGCAGCATTGTGAATGCCATTACCTTTCCCTAGACTGAGTTGGCTAGAGATATGTTCTTCCTGAAAAGCTTTCTATTCCAGAGTGGGAAGGTGATAACAGAGCAGAAAACAAGGATCCAAGTACCTACATTTTTATCCCATTTTTCTTATTATCTGGCTTTGTTACCTGGAGCAAGTGCCCCTTGGGTGCTGAGGCAGGATCACAAAGGACCATTGCAGTGGTAAAACTGGAGGTAGAAGCCAAAGGTTGACGCCTGCTCCTGCTCTGATTTCAGTGCCTCCAGGTCGCCAGTTCTACGCTTCGGCACAGGGCATTCGGTGGGAAAGGGGAACAGCTCACAGCCGGTGTCTGGCCAGGGATAGTCATGCTGACAGATTTGCCTAAATTTCCTGTACTCCCACCTTGCCCTGCACCCACTAGCTGGGGACATGCTGTGCTGGAGGGCTGCCCATTCCTTCCACCATGCAGCGAGGCTTGTCAGGGCTGGCTTTGAGTGGGGAAACACCACAGTGCCCAGGCATGGGCATGAGCCAGCGTGTGGCACTTCATTTAACAATCGCTAAATGTTGCTTGATCCTGACATAAGCCGCCCAGCTGCCACTTACAGCTACATGTTCACTCTTTGCACACTGGGGTATTTATAGCACAGAGGCGAAGGAAACTGGAATTCCTGATGGGAAATTTTTGACATCTAGCTAGATTATTTTTTCCACCCATGGCAATTGAATGAGACAATTGAAACGGTCTCTGCAAACTGCCCGAAGCAGCCCTGTGTCCACACCTGACTCCTTGGGTGATGAATCGTTTTGTCACTTCTATGTAGGACTTTGCTTGGGCCCTTGCCTCTCTCAGTGGCCTTGTAAGCTGCTGATGCATGTTTATCTTCTATGATTCTTTTAAATCTTTAAATTCTCTAAGCGTGCAACAAGGGGAGATATCTCGTCTTGTACAGCTTCACTGTCCGGGAAAAAACAGACAAAAGTCCACCCTTGGATTTTGCTAGGGTTCAGACCTGCTGGTCACACAGCCAGAAGAGCCTGGCAGTGGTTGTTTCTCCCTGCTTCCCTGGCAGATAGACACTGCTCTGTCTGGCACAGGGCAATCCTGCTCAGCGAGCCTCATATTTCTAAGAAGTATTGAGCCCTCGGTTTCATTTAGGATATCAGCCCTAGTAGTTTAGAGGAGCCAAAAGCCTTACTGAAATGTCATGCTAAGAGGTGAAGATGGGAAGGTGAGGAGGATCATAGCTGTGTGGTTCCCTCCAGGCAGTTGGGGTTTTTTTTGGCATGAATTATTCAGGAGGAGAAGAAAGCAGCAGGAGAGAGCAAGGAGCCTGGAGCTGCAGGCAGCCTATTTTGAGGAGTCTGAACAACTGTTGAAATGGCTTCCAAATAATCCACTTGCAGCCAGAAATAAATGGCCCTGAATGGGGCACCTGCTGATTGACAGGAGTGTGCAGGCAGGGCAGAGCAGCTAAAACCAGTGCCCTCTTTCTCCCCACTGCCACCTCCGAGCGGAGGCATTGCCTGTGTGGGCAGGAGGTAGCAGTGTGCAAATCACACCGCTGATCTATTAGAGAGAAAAGAGCACCAATCCTAATTTCCCCACTAGGCTCAAGTCTGCATGAGTCCTTGGTGCAGAGGAGATGAGGGGAGGGACTGTGAGGCAGAAAAGGGATGGCGCAGCTCCAGGGTCTGTGCTGTTCAGGAGCACAGAGCAAGCCCTGTACATCTGCACTCCTCAGCATCACTTGGATTCAGCAGACTGAGCCCAAAGCCACTTACTAAAGCAGGTGCTTCACTTTCAAACAAGCTGCTTTGTGACTTTGTGCTGCCCATGAGGAGCATGCTCTTCTTGTTCTCACTTGCTATGAGCATTGTGGTGACCTCTGTCCCAGCGTGGGTCTCAGCATGCAGAACATTGTGCAGGGTTGTTATTCCAAAAGATATTCCTAGTTATTCAGAGGTGGATTCTGCTCAGACAGCTGCCCAGCACAATGGATATCTTCCGTGTCAGGCTCTGGCTGACTTCGTCAGACCCTAGCTGGGCTGCAGTTTGATTTGTGTACATGGCCTAGGGGTAAGAAGAAATAAAGATTTAATAATAGATGATTGATTAAAACGAGGACAGTGTTGGCAAGAGCTGACAAGTCAATGTGGGAGGTAAAACCAGAATGAAAGCCAAAGCCCTGAGACACCATGTGTGACGGTGCCAGGTAATTTTGCTGCTGTTGTGGGGCTCAGCGCAGAGAAGAGGGCTGTGAAACTGCCAGTCCTGCTCCCTGCATGAGAAACATGTTTTTCCCGCCATGAGGGATGGCAAGTAGATCATTTCTTTACCCTCGTCTGGACCTCCCCACCTGCTCCTTCCGCTTTTCCCAGCTGGACAGCATGTGGGGGGCTCACACCCTCCAGGAGCTGCTCCTGGAGGAGATTCCTCTGCTTTGGGATCGCCTCCTCTCCCAGCGTCCAGCCTGGACCCTCTTGCAGTTGTCCCCAGACCTCTCAGGGCCAGGGACACGGAGCTGGAGCCCGTCCCTCTGGCCCCTGGGGCAGGTCCTCACGCTGACCCCTCTTTCCTCAGGCCCCGAGTACCAGAAGCGCAAGCTGCTGCAGGAGATCATGGAGAACGCGGAGCACGCTGTCAACATGGAGGAGGAGGCGCCACCACGGCCTGAGGGT